GGCTCTGGGAACGTTGTTCCCATGAGATGCATGTTATGCAAACTTCACTTTAAAATGCTCTTTCCAACACTCTGTGGCTTGAGACCCAATTTCCAGATGACACTGTGTCCAGCATGCATTTCCCCAGGTGTGGCTTTCCTGTGTGGCTGTATCACGAAGTACCGGAGGCTTAAGGAGCTCTTTCCTGAGCCTCGTCTGTTTGGCATCCGTGGATGGACCAGTGAAGTGTAAACAGATGAACGACAGCAGTGGTTTTAAGGAAAATGGGACTAGGCCATAAAAATGGAAGAATCTCAAAGCACAGTTGTCAAAGGCACCTCTGGATAAACAATCCAACTCACCCCCACCCCTGCTTCATCAAAACGTTGTGCGGAGCTTAAAAGCTGCTTCTCGGACCTCCCTGGTGGGCCAGGGGTTAAGAATCCGTCTGCTAATGCAGGCGACAAAGGTCCAATTCCTGGTCCAGGGAGATCCCACATGCCTCAGGGCAACGAGACCCGTGTCCCACAGTTACTGGGCCTGAGCTCTAGAGCTGCAACAAGAGAAGTCACTACAAGGAGAAGCCCGGACTCGGAAACTAGAGACTACCCCACTCACCACAACTAGAGAAAAGCCCGTGTGCAGCAACACAGACCTCCCAAGCAAAAAAACCCCAGCTCCTTCTTCTCTGGGTTTCCTTCCCTCCATCTGTCTGCAAGTACCAGACCCCTCCTGGCTCAGCACGGCCCCCAGCCTCACACCTTCGTCTCCTGCATCTCAGCTCCCATCCCCCATCTGCACCCCTCGTTCTCCGCTTCTTTCCCTGCCACACGCTGCCAAGACATCGTGTTCAGGCCGGAGACTCCTGTGTTCATTCAAATCTGGCCCCGTGGGCTGAGGTCCACATAGGGGACCTCAGCTGAATGGCTTAACTCTGAGTTAACTTTCATTACTTCCCTGCAGAGAGGGAAGAATACTAGCTTCCACTTCAAAGAACTGTTTCAGGATCAAAGGCGAGTCTGTGTGCAAAGTGGTTATAACAGTGCAGGGCACGTAGTAAACACTCAATTAAGTAAAACAGTAATGACAGCGTTTATTGCCACATCTCATTTTTGCCCGACATTCAGCATCCAATTTCATGTCTTGAGTGTACTCGGTGGATGATGGTATTTTCCCTTTACCACTTTTTTTAAAGGGAAAATATATACAAATGTATGAGGTACACACAAGGAGTATATGCATTTTGCCCAAAAATTTACACAGTGGAGAAAAGTAGAAAAGCAAAAAATGGAAGCAATCCGTTATCCCCAAATCTCCAAAGAGAGGTAAGTGATGCTATTGCTCTGCTAGGTGAGCACACGTGTATACGTGTGTATGTGTGTGTGGTTTTGTTTTTGTTTTCTTAGCTTTACTCTTTTGGTGACACTGAGAGGCACAGGAGATCTAAGTTCCCAACCAGGGGTGGATCCCATGCCCCCCTGCATTGGAAGTGTGGTCTTAGCCACTGGACCACCAGGGAAGTTCCCTCTCCCCTCTTTTTTCCTTAAAGTGTGGTTTTTATAATAGGATTATACTGAATGCATTGCCTGTACCCTGCGATGTCCAGATTTTGTGTTATTGTGTGTGGAGGATGTTCTCTCTCTTTTTTTTTTTTTTACAAAGATGTGTACCTGAAGGTGACTGGTTGGCCCAGCCCTACGTCTGGGATTCCTGTTGGCCAGGCACCAGCATGAGCCCTTGTTTCCTTCGTTGCTTTCAATGGGGATGGCTTTTCCTGGTACAGAGGAGAGCACGTGTGAGTTTCCCTGCTGGATACTCAGCATGAAGATTCTGAGGCCCAGGTGCTGGAGTTCGCTGCTCTGGGCCAAGTCTCCACAGCAGGACCCTGGCTAGATGTGGAGAAGATGTTGCCCCCCTCTAGGCTTCCCTGTCGTGTCAGATGCGAGAGCCATCCTGGCCAAGAATAATTCTGAGAAGAAAGAGCTTCTGAATCACTATAAGCACAGTTATTTTGCAAAAGGGCAAAACTGGAAAAAAAATGTTTTATAAAGCATTACAGTTATAGAAATGTGTCGCCTAAAATACTTTGTAACGGTTTGTGGGAATGTGCCGAGCCACATTATGAAAGGACCCTGAGAGAGACTTTTCAAGGGCAACCTGCAAAACCAGCGCTGAGCCGAGGCGCTTGCCCGACCCGCCCTGGAGATGTCACAATACTCGGCTCCCATGGCCACCTCAGTGTCAGCCCCGTGGGGACCAGGGCTCGAGTTATGAGGGGTGGCAGAGGGTTCCCTCTAGAGCGATTGACACCTCGGCCTGCCCTTCTGGCTGCTCAGTACATGCTCTGAAAAGCTGGAATCTTAAAGGAAAGCTTTGCATTTTGATTAAGAAGAAAAAAAAGAGGTCCACCACCACTTCCTCAATTGTCACAGCTCTTTCGCCACTGGGAATGATGAAGATAAGGTAAAAATAGACACAGTCATGATTTGTTACTCAGCAAGGACTCGGACGGCCACGCTCGAGTGCACCCCTGAATTTAGAGCTTATCTCTCAGATGTTTTAAGCTGGTCCTAGAGATCTGCACCCCCAGGCCTCTTCTGGGTTCGATCCCTCTTCCCCAGCCCAGCCCTCCACTCAGCTCTGCGCACAGACCTCTCCCCCTGGAAAAGATGGAGACTAAGCTGCAAATTCTTAATCTCTGTGTGAACTGTAAATATGAATCAACTTAACCCTCCCAACAATTCCATCGGGGTAGTTACCATATCACCATCATCACCATCACCATATCACCATCCTTATCAACATCACCATCTTCATCATCATATCACCATCTTTGTCATCACCACCATCAATATCAACATAATCATCATTGTCATGTCTAGCAAGTTGCCCAGAGTTAGTGTGGTTGGCAGCATAATGACTCCCCTCAAACCCCCAGAATATGTTGCCTGCTATGGCAAAAGGGACTTTGCAGACATGATTAAGGACCTTGATGTGAGATTCTTCTGGACGATCCAGGTGGCTCCAGGTAATCACAAGGAGGGAGTCAGGAGGGTCAGAGTCATGGAAAGATGTGAGGACAGAAGAGTCAGGAGACTGGCAGCTGCCATCCTGCTGGATTTGAAGGTGGAGGAGGGGGCCACGAGCCAAGGGAAGCAGTGCCTCTAGAAGCTGGAGAAGGCCAGGAGACAGATTCCCTCCTGGAGCCTCCGGAAGGAGCAAAGCCCAGCCAATACCTCGACTTCAGCCCAGGGAGACCCATGCCAGACTTCTGACTCCCAGAACTCAGATAACAGGTTGGCTCTATGGTGAGCTGCTAAATTTGTGGTCATACGTTATGGCAGCAACAGGAGCTGAATCGATGAGTGACTTTATAACCCAAATCTCCTGCTTTGTAATCGAGTGCCGCCTCGGAGCAGGGCCAGACTCATCATGATGCCAGCCGCCCAGTGTCCCCACGCATCATGGGGCTGACCGACCCCCAGCTGACAGCACCCTTCAACCCCCAAGACGGCTGCATGAGGCCGTGTTCTGGCTGCGCTGAGCTGGAAATGGCCCCGTGCTCAGCCTGGCTGGGAGCTGGCTTTGAACTCTGACCGAGCGGGAGACTGGAAAAGTGACTTTTGCCCAGATGTCTGTCTGAGCAGACAGAACAGAGGAAAACGGCCCCCCAGGGCTCAAACCCCACTGCCTCTTCCTGCCTAGAGTGGGAGGCACCTTCTTTGCAAAGGGTGAAATGAATGTCCCTCTTGGCTCACAGCTGGTCAGACCCGGATCTTTCACATTAAAAAAAAAAATGCAAAGGGGACAAAAAAAAAAAAGAAAAGAAAACCAGAAGCTGGGGGTGGAGGGCAGGAAGAAAATGCAGTGACTCCAGAGGGCTTGGTCTGAGGTTGAGAGGTATGGGGTGCTGGGGGGCCTGGCCCGGCTCCCCCAATGGAGGCGGGAGGGTGACCGGGCAGCATGGTGGCCTCGGAGACTCCTCAGCCCCTGCAGTGCTGGGCTGAGACCTGAGTGGGGTGGGAACACGCCCGCTCCAGGAAGAATCTGAGGCAGAGGAACTCAGCACAAACCCAACTTCTCTAAAAATATTAAAAGCCTGTGGCCCACAGAGGCCTGGCTACAAGGCCCCCTTGGGCGCTGACGGCGGGTCTCTGACGGTTGAGACCCAGCGTGGTCCTGGCATTGAGCAATAGGGCTCTGCCAGGGGCCCCGGGGCCCCGGGCCCTCTGCCCGCCCTGCCCTGCTCCCATGGAGGGCGAGAAGAGGCCGCTGCCGGGGTGCGTGTGTGACTGTGCCTCTGTGCGTGTGTGTGCGTGAGTGTGTAGGCCTGTGTGGCCTTGTGTGCCGGTGGGTGCGCCAGCGAGTGGCTCCACAGCCCTCCTCGAGGCCCCGGGGTCTCAGACTGTCCCGGCGACCTCTTCTCCAAGGACAGTCAGAAGAACCGTCCGCTGGGCCCCAGCACGGGCCCTGGGCTGCTGTGGACCACCAGGGGACAGATAGTAGTGATAGATAAGGAATTGACTGAGCTCTTACTAGGTGCCAGGCTCTGTTCTAATAAGCACATCATTGCACCAGTCCACAGAAATTACAAGCCTATGAGATAAGAACTAGTTTTTGTCCCATTGAGTGGAGCAGAACTGAAGCCCAGAGAAGTGGAGTCATTTTCCTGAGGTCACACAGCATTGGCGCAAGGCGGGAGGAAGGCTGGTTCCAGGGCTGACGCCTGAAAACTCCACTCCATGACCTCGAGTGCCAGCCCGAACCACCTGGACAGCTGTGGCCTCAGCAGGGCGCCCTTCCTCTCACTCCCGGGCCCTCCGGAGGCTGGGAAGCCATCTGGTGACCTTGCATGGAGCCTCAGCGGGCCGCGGCTGCACCGATGGTCCTGAGAGGGGGGGCCAAGTGGCGGTGGTGGTGGGCACTGTTGGGGTCCGAGACCCCCGGCTAGGAATTGCATGAGTGCGGATGAAACAGTCATCCCCTGTCTCTGGGGCCTGGCCCCTCTGTCTCTGCTCCAGGGCGTCTCGCTGAGGCCCCCAGCTTCGGGACTCACGGGGGACGCCTGCCCTGGCAGCCCTGCTCCTCACCGGCCAGGGCTTCCTGCCTGGCCGGAAGGGCAGCAGGGCACATGGCTTTCCTTCCTGGTGTCTGGCTGTGCCACCCAGGAGCCGGCCCAGCCCCGCTGCGCTTCCTCCCACGCGGAGTGGGGCTGTGCCCGCGCTGGCCACGTGGGCGCCTGGCCTGGCCACCCCTGGGGTCCCTGCCCCCTCCTGGCCCAGGCTGAAGGATGGACTCCTTGCTCCCCGAGTTCTCACCGCCGCCCCTTCTGGGCCATTCGCCTGCCTCACAGTGTGGCGGGGACAGGGCCACGTGTGGCCTGGCTCCAGGGGATCCAGGTGGGAATAATGGTGTCCGCCGTGGGGGCAGGTCTGCGGAGTGGCAGCCCTAAGCCTTGTCCTGGGGACTCCACCGTGGGGCTCATCTGCCAGCCCCCCAACTTTCTAGCCACGGAGCCTAGCAGTCATCTTGGCGCCTTGGTGTCCACGTTAGTGATGTGGGGGCAAAGTGGTGGCTTCTACCTCACCAGGCTTGGGCCAAGCAGCAAGTAGGAAGCTCTCCCTGCAGGGGGCTGGGGCCATCACCTCCTCAGAGGACGGGCAGCGGTGCTCCGAGCTGTGCCCTGCTGGGGACTGACGGCGGTTGTCAGCCCTGTTAGCCCATTGTGAAGATGGGCAAATAGAGGCTCACATGTTCAGATCCGAGACTTCTGTACTGATTCCACTTTGTCCTCTCCTTCTGCCCCCTTGAATATCAGGGAAGCCAGTTTGCCCCAAACACTTCACTTGTAGGAAGTCAAGAGCAGCGTCTCAGGGCCAACACCTGCCCCGGTGTGGGTGGAGCTGCCCCGTGAACGTCCACTCACACTGGACACGTCCTGGGACCTGCTGCTTTCTGTTGAGGGGAATCCTGGAGCAGGATGGGGAACCAGCAGGGCGGCTAACACCTGCCGGGAGCAGACGCCGGGGAGAGCTGGTCCCTGGTTCTGGCGTCAGAGGCCCTGGGTTGGTTCAAAGCCTGATCTTGCTCATAGCGGAGACATTGTCTCTGGTGGGACTTAATCGCTTTCCTCTTCAGTTTACCTGTCTGCACGGGGATCTGGTGAGAATGGTACAGGTGAAGCTCTTATGGGCTTCCCTGGTGGCTCAGTGTGGTAAAGAATCTGCCTGCCAATGCAGGAGATGTGAGTTTGGTCCCTGGGTCGGGAAGATCCCCTGGAGAAGGAAATGGCAACCCACTCCAGTATTCTTGCCTGGAGAATCCCATGGACAGAGGAGCCTGGTGGGCTAGTCCATGGGGTCGCAGAGAGTCGGACATGACTTAGCGACTAGACAGCAGCGAAGCTCTTACACCAGGCAGATGACCGACCTGTAACACATCTGAGTAGCTGTTTCTCTCTTGACTGACCCTCTCGTTTTGCAGATGGGGAAACTGAGATCTGGGCAGAGGAAATGGTCTTTCTGAGGCCGCTTGGTCTTAGCAGGGCTGATGGAGCTGAGACAGACCCTCATTCCTCTGAACAAAGAGAGGTTTGCCTTAGGGTCTGCTTCTCGGGAGCCAGCTGTGTGTCTACGGGGGCAGCTCTGAACCTCTCTGGTTCTCAGTTCCTCGCCTGTAACACCATCACCCTGAGTGCCCCTCAGCATCCCCAGCCTGGGTCACATTTCCACCCTGAGATGGAGAAAAGTTTTCAGAGAAGTTTGTTCGGGGCCATGTCTGCCTAGGAAGTATGCTGAGAAGATGACACAACTAAATGACATTGACCGTTGACTTGAATTACTCCAGTAGTTTCTTTTTCCCTTGACCTGTGGGTTAGAGGCTGCAAACATTTATTTCTCTACTGGCATAAAGTAACTTTTATTTTCAAACATTACACGGACTTGATGCAGAAAACCTAGAAAGCACAGGAAAAACACAACGCTGGAGGGAAAAGAAAACAAACCAACCAACAAACACAAGATGAGGAATTAAAAGAAGAAAAAACTCAAAAGAAAAAGAAAGTGAAAAGGAAAGTCAAGCAAACGCTTTTATGAGTGAGGGCCCTGTCATAAAACCACCGCGTTTCTGGTGAACACTGTCCTGCTCTAGCTTGCAGAGCCGTGAGACCAAGGACATTGCCCTCCGAGGAGCCATCTTGGAGCCGGCTGGAGGAAATCCTCGTTTCTAGAACCTTCTCCTGCACACCAGATGCCCATCACCTACGAGGTGGACCTGTGTGGGTGGGGGCCCTGGTCTGGCCTCTGGGGTGTGCGAGTCTCGTGGAGCAGAGCCCGGGTTCGAGGGGCTTAGGCCCCAGCGCCCTGGGCTGTTCCTCTTCCTGCATGGATTCCTGACGTGGCCTTGAAAGAGCCTTCTGGCTCCTTGTGACTTGCCTTCCTCATCTGTGGCGTGGGGATTCTTCTACGTGGATTAACGTGTGTGCTCAGGACAGAAGGGCTCTGCCCACGGTCGTGGCGACGGTGAGTTCACATCCACCCAAGGATTCACATAACAACAAGCGGTTGCTTTAGGAACACAGTGTGGGCAGGTTTGTGAAAGCAGGCAAGCGGCCTTTCCCTGGAGGGCCTGCGGCTGGTCTCGTTCAGGGACACATTAAAAGAAATGCTGATGACAAAGAGATGCCAAAACAAAACAAGATCCAAAAGGATACATGCACCCCAATGTTCATCGCAGCACTGTTTACAAAGGCCCAGACACAGAAGTAACCTAGCTGTCTATCGACAAAGGAATTGATAAAGAAGATGTGGTAAATACATACAACGGAGCACTACTCAGACATTAAAAAGAATGCAATAATGCCATTTGCAGCATCATGGATGGATCTGGAAATTGTTACATTGAGTGAAGTGAGTCAGATTAAGAAGGAGAAATGTCATATGCTATCCCTCATATGTGGAATGTGAAGGGAAATGGTACAAATGAACTTACAAATCAGAAGGAGACTCACAGACTTAGAGAACAAACTCATGGTTGCCAGGGGAGGGGGCAGGATGGGGGGAAGAGATAGGGAGTTTGGGATTCACATGTACACAGTGCTGTGTTTAAAATGGATAACCAACAAAGACCTACTGTTCAGCACATAGAACTCTGCTCAAAGCGATGGGGTAGCCTGGACGGGAGGGGAGTTTGGGGGAGAGTGGATACATGTATATATATGGCTGAGTCCCTTTGCCCCCGTTCACCTGAAATTATGACAACACTGTTAATCAGTTACACCCCAATACAAAATCAAAAGTTTCAAAAATAAAAATAGATTAAAAAAAGATGGCCATGCAGTGGCAACAAAACCCTGAAATGCCGAAATGGTGTTGCAAAAACAGATAGAAGTTGACCATTCGACAGTGAATATCTTCTCTAAACGCTGCGACGGTGGGCGTGGAGACCTCTACAGGTCTGAGATGCAGATGTCTCGTGAGTGGGGCACGTGCCCACCCGGCCGTGTGACGCTGTGGCCATGTGGCCGCTCGCCTCTGGGCTGACACCCTACTCAGAGCACAGCAGATATCTGAGTGGGGAATCTTCTCCATGGGAGAAGGAGCAGAGACAAGGAGGCTTTTTGGTCTCCAGGGCATATGCTCAGGCTTGAGATGAAGCCCAAGGCTCAAGTGTTATCAACGTTTATCGGGTCAGAAAAGGGTCAGCTGTGACCTGGGCCTGGGGGCACTTAGCTGCTGGCCTCCGCTGGCAATATTTGTTCAACTTTCTCTTTCGTTTTCACTTTTGGTCTTCCTTTGCAATTCAGAAGTCCAGATGTCCAACAGGGCCGGGCCACAGAAAGGCACAGTCCTTAGCACAAGGTCTGGAGGCTGCTGGCGGGGAGCTTGGGTCCTGACCCCTGTGGTGCAGGGGTGGGTCCCCAGCGTCTCTCTTTGTCCTCTGCTCTCTCTCCCTGATGAGCAGGTGACAGCCAAGGAGGACCCCTGGTGTGTGAGATGTGGGGGCCCTTTCTGCCCAGCACGCTCTTGTAACTCCCACCCCCCGGCCCTGCTGATGGACGGCCCTGAGATTCAGGCCCATCGCAGATGGCGCCTGGGGTCACTGAGCCAGCACAGGGACCGCTGGACCGGCAGCCGTGGGGCCGCCTCTCCCAATTCCCGGGACCCCTGGGCCTCCGGGATCCCCAGGGAAGCAGCACCCCCTGCTGGCTGGTCCCCACTTCTCGGTCTTCCCCTCCCTGGAACCAGAGGACATTGGCTCACTGCCGGGTCCACACTCTGCCTTTGGGGCTGCTGGCACGCTACAGCGCGTGCACGGGATAGAAGATTCTTACAGAGAATGTACTAACGATCCTGCAGTGCCACTCCAAGGTCCCCAAGGAATTTCCACCCGGGTCCATCAGGTGTCATGAGTGAGGATGTTCACAGCACATGCAGGGGTAGGGGGGCACCTGAAGCCTATTCAGGGTGGGTGGGCCACATGGAGGGCGTGCGTGCAGGGCAGACTGGACCCCACACAGCAGCACCGGGGAATTTAAAAACAAAACGCCAATGAATTGGGAGATTAGGATTGACATAGGTACACTATTGACATTATGGATAAAATCGACAACTAATGAGAACCTACTGTACAGCATGTGGAACTCAGGGCCCTGTGGTGACTTAAATGGGAAGGAAATTCAGAAAAGAGGGGATACATGTGTATGTATGGCTGATGCACTTGGCAGTACAGCAGAAAGTAACACAACATCGTAAAGCAACTATATTCCGATAAAAAAAACAAAACCAAAAAACCCTGCCAAGTTTAAAAAACAAAACAAAGCAGAATGAGAGTACATTACAAAACCATGCATTTACCAGAAATAAGTGAGCGGATAAATACTAAAGGGGAATCATAGGGAACTGCCAGCTGTTTTGCTGCTTTTTTTTTAACCTACTAAAATGAGAATGTCCTGCTGTGTGACTTAAGAATTGCAGTGCATTTACACAGAATAGAGCGATGAGAAGGGATGATCTACACACATGAAACTGTGTGGTTTTTTGCCCAGAAAGAATATTCAGTAAAATAAACCAGAAACATAGAAGTTTGCACGCTATGATTCCAAGTCACAGAGTTCAGAGCCAGGCAAGGCAGGTCTATGTTATTGGAGGCGAGGACAGGGTTGCCGCTGGGGGATGATGATGGGCCATTTTCTCGCATGCGTGCCCTGAGTGCAAATGTGCCGAGTGTACGGTGTGTGCACTTTTCTGTACCTGAGTCACCCTTCCATAGACGCTCAGGAGTGTGGGCCTGGTAAGCAACAGCAGGTTTACAGGAAAACTCAGGGACAGCAGGCTTTGTGCTCAGGCTGGTGAGGAGCTGCCCAGGGTGGGGAGGGATCGAGACAGGAAAAGGCCCAGATCTTTCCCCTGCCTCCTGGGCATCCCAGGTGAACAGTGGGGGCCCCCCCTTCCCGAGCTTCCCCGGTAGCCCCGCAGGGCCCAGGCCTGGCCGCAGGAGAGAGGAAAGTCCCCATTGGTTTCTCTTTCTTGCCGCTGGAGGGGCTGCAGGTATTTGTTCCTGAAACTCATGACTGAGCTAATTTTACACCGTGGTCGAGACGCTGCAGGGAGAA